GTCAATCTTTCTACTCCTTCCTAGTCTTCAACTTACAACCATTCATTTAGCAATCTTTCAAAGTTATGATGGGGCTGAAAAATGATTTACGGCCAGTTGCAGCTGGCTTGTATTTACAATAGCTGCAGCATCTCAGGGTCCCATGATTGCCATTTGCAACCTTTTCAGCCAGTTTCCGACAAGCAAAGTTACAAGCCACAGTCGCCTGATGTTTCATATAGGAATTATAGTGATTTGCTTAATGACCAGGCCAAAAATGTTGAGTGGGGGTCACATGATGCCTCACTTAATAACCACATTGTTTAATGACAATTTTTACAGTTCCAATTGTGGTTTCACCAATTAAATAATGTCATCTATCAGGACCTAACAAGTGCACGTTCTCTGTAGTAGTGTGTGCCCTCTGATGTGAGATTTTCCCCAATAATCAAATGGCCCCTCCCCTACTGGTATTTCTTCACCCAGGCCTTTTGTGAGCATGACTGACACCCCTTTTCTTCCTTTTCCTTGTTCCCATCCAGATTTGTTTTCTCTGTTCCTTTGAATTGTATCTTGTATTTAGCAAATCTACCAATTTGTTAGGCGTTTAGCAGCATATACCTTTTAATAAATTAGTATTAAATTACATCTCCTTGCAGATAACATTGCCCCTTTTTATAAAAGAACCATGGTTGAATCTTCTTACATATTGCTGATCGCTCTTTGTTAACACAGCACTATAGAAAAGACTTACTAAAAATAATCTTTTATCTAGAAATAAACCAATCTAACAAACTGTGCCTATAAATTAAGGTCAGATATGTAGGACTTATTTACTATGAGCTGATGGTAGGATTACATTTTCACCAGTTTAATATCTAAAGCAGATATTTAATATACCTAATTGTAAATCATATTACATCATGCCACCTGAAATAGACATTTCTTTTAATTCCACATAATCAATGACATACTATAACTACAGCCTACCTTTCTTTTAAATACATAATTAAACTGGAATCAGTTTTGGTTCCAGTTTATTGTAGTAGTTAAGGTGCTAGGCTAGAAACCAGGACAGTGTGAGTTCTAGTCTCACCTTAGGCATGAAAACTTGACCTTGGGCCACTACTCTTTCAGCCCAACCCACCTCACAGGGTTGTTGTTGTGGGGAAAATTGAAGGAAGGAGTACTATATATATTCCCTGCCTTGAATTATGTATAAAAAATAGTAACAGTAAGTCCTCAATTTAAAAGACCTCATTTTCAGACTTCAAAATACAATGGCCTAATTTTTCATTTTAGTTGAAGTTCTTATTACAATTGTATCATTTATGAGTTATGTGATTACACAAATAATGCAAATTCAAACTTATTCAATAATTCCCCATGATGGTCAGTTACATCAAGTTATTACAGGTGATCCTTGTTTAATGACCACTCCGCAATAGTTTGAATTTGAGAGAGCCACTGAATAAGTGGTATGACCAGTCATCAAAGTGGCCATTACAGGGCCCCTGCAGTCATATGATCTGCACTCAGCAATCAGCCAGATTGTTGATTGTTATTCACAACCTTCCTTGCTGCAAAGTCAATGGGAAAGTTAGAAGTTGTGATCACGTGAGGTGATCCTGTGCTTTACAACTACTTTGTTTAGTAATGGATATTCTGATCTCAATTACCATTGTTAAGCAAGGGCCACCTATATTAAAATTTGATTATTGAAGAACCATGGGGTTTCCTGATCTATTTTTCAAGCTACACTCTGCTTGTACTAGGAGACACATGGTTTAGTTTGTGTAGTACTTCTCAGTAAGCATTTTTGATAGAATTAATGCCAATAAAAATGTACAGTAATATACAGAAATGTAAGGCAATGTATATTCATCTTTTTGTAATAACTTATGACAATAAGATAAGTAAAATAATTGTTGTAATCTCTCAAGAAAAAGATGACAATAAAAAAGAAAATTAGCTTGTAGCTTCTTTGCGTTAAATAATAAACTAACAGACATTAAAACATTTCATTAACTATTATTTTGATTCCATGGAAAGACTGCATGTTTTTCAAACAGAATAAAAAACAGCCTAATCTTAAGCTTTTATTTTTAGGCCAATACAAATTTTAACATCCTAGACATGCTAGACATAGTAAAAACACAGCTGCATTAATTCAATGAGGCATAACTCCACAGAAGGAAATTTTCCAAAGTTAGTTCTTTTTCTTTTTAGAAGACAGATAAATAGCAAAAATATGTGTGGGCAGGCAGAGCAATTCTGTGGTTTATTAGCTATTTGAAAATATAAAAATATTTTAAATATTTCTATCAGATTGATCACTACGTTTCAAGTGTATTTCAGAGATCTTGGCTATTTTTTTACATAATAAAACACTGCACAAAGTAATTTCACAATTATTGCTTAAAATGAGTTCTCATAGTGTAAACTTATTTCTGCTACAAAGAAGTGTATCTGTGAACTTTACAGAACAATCCTTTTAAAGAATTAACACACATTTTAAGAACTGAAAATTAAAAAAGCCACAAAATAAATTAAAAAACCAGGTATAAATTAGAGTAAAATATATTCAATATTTTTAAAAAGGAAATTTTCGATAAGTAATTTCTGACAACCTCATAGAGGTTGACAACCTCATGTTTTTAAAACATAAAAGCAGTTTTGTCACTGTCTTCTGTTTCCTTTTTTTTTTTTCCCCTAGCATAGCCTACATCCTCTGGTATTCCTTAGTAGTCTCCCATCCAAGTAGTAATCAGATCCAAGTTGCTTAACTAAAGGCCAGATGTATTTATTCTTTTTGATAAGCTCTTCTGAATAAACAAATAAAAATAACCAGAAGCTATTTTGTTGATGCCTATTAATGATTTATAGTTTTCCCACAAAACCATGCAACATTTTACTAATGCTCAGTTAAAGACTGATTGTAATTTCTATTTCTATAAATTACTAGGTGCGTCCTAAAGGTGGATTAAATGTCATAAACCAAAAAAACTATTTTAAAATTCCAACCACAAAACAAAACAAAGTACTATAGTTTTGTCCCAGAACTTTTGAATATGTCCAAGTTGCATGATTCATTTTTCTGTTTAAATTCCTCTAAATCACAGAAACTTGGAGAAAGCATCAGCCAAATTCATTCCTGCTAGCCACTGCCTGGATTAGCTAAAGGCGTACAGTAGTGTGACAGTGAAGGGGAAAAAAAACATAAAAATATAGATAAAAAAGTAACACTGCTATATGTCCAACAGACACATTTACTGCTGCAATTGAATTTCTTACTGTGAAGAGGTCATTGATTGTAATTATCATGTTATTATCATTACATATTACACTTATTTTACATGCAGGTTGTCAAATGCAAAACTATATACTATTTGTGCGTTACAAGAATTCTTACTGTTATGATTCTATAGTTTCTGAATGCCAAATGTCAGAATTATATTTCATACACATGCAATTGGAAACAGCTTCAAACCAACAGTTGAAAAAGTGTATTTTTGCTTTTGTTGTTTGTGAACTGAAGTAAAGAGACCTGACTGCTGCTGCTTCGTTGCAGAGCTCATTTGAGAAAGTAAATATGCAGACAGTCCAGGGTATTTTATATTCTATATTAATATTAGAATATACCTCTTAATAAGAACTTAGATGGAACAATCTGTCCATATCTAGTCACCATTTCCCACTGTCTGATGCACGATAACTGCACATGCCTAATGACTCATTCAATTTTATGCACATATAATTTATAGATACCTTACTTTGATGGACATATTTTCATTAAATTAGCACAGTATATTAAAGGTTTACTCTGTTCATAAGCTTCTCATGACTGCAGTTCTATATGGCTTGGGGCTGAAGTACATTCAGGGCTGTACATTCAGTATCAGCCTAAACCTCCTCCCCCCCCCCAATTTTCCATTTTCATGAAATCAGAATAATCCAGGAAGTCTTCTCTGTTATGGAACTAATGATATGACCTGAGAGGTTAGACTTGCACTGACCATAATGGTCTTCTGGAAGCAAGTTAAAAAGGAGCTCTTGTGGATGGTTTTTTAAGTAGTTAGGACAGAGATTCAGGGATTATTTACATATCATTCTGATAGCAAATTAATGACACATCATAATGGTTGCATTTATTACAATATTATTTGGTCCATGGAATTTTATTCTTTGTAGTCATCAAGAGTCACACGATGGTAACCTCCTTAAAAATAAAAATCCAATAAATAAATTAGTGTGCAATGGGCTTACACTCTTGCCAGTGTGTACACTACAGCCTTAAAAATGTTCCACAGGGTAGTAAATCATAGATAATTGAATGTATTTAAATGTAAATAAAGAGCTCCTCAGCATACAAGCAATAATTTTCTGTATAGCTATTTAGTAGTAAGTCTAATGGAAATCAATGGGAATTTTTAGAAGATGGGAGCTAAAGTCAAGGTATAAACCAGTACTACTAAAAATGTGGAGTTCCTGCTTTACCCATGGCTATAAAATGAAGCTTTGGAACTAAACTGAACTACTTAAGTTGCATAACATAAAGACTTTAGCTAAACAATAAGCAAGAAGGGAAAAAAATGGTGCAAATCCAGAAGGAACTTTAAATATTTCAGATCCCTCAAAGGGTTTTCCTATAAAGTGCATAAATGGCTATTATGACTCAAATAATAACCATGAAAATTAAAGTATAGTAGCAGAAAACTCAGGGCTGGCCAGAAGGTACAATGTAAGTCCAGCTCTATGTTTTATATGCTACCGATATTCAAATATCCTAGTAGCATTTTATATGATTAATTTCATTAAACTTACTTTATAAAATTGGCAAATGTATTAACAGAGATTAAACTCATACTTTAATACACATGCTGCCCTAAGGAAAGGCAGGTATGATCAGTGGTAAGACTGGGTTATATAGGAATGTTTACTAGACTTTTTTTTTTATTTCAGTTCAAAAAATACAACTTTCAAGAATTACCTTCATTTGAAACACAGTGGGGAACACTTACTTTCTCTGGGCCTTTTCTTTCTTGGCTTTGGTCCGTTTCTTTCGGGCTTGCAATGCTAGAACTGAAAAGAGATGGGGAAGCAGAAGAAAGCTGAACCAAAATCTGGTTCAACTCAAAATCTGAATTTACAAATCTGGTAAATTTAATTTTTAAGCATCATCTTTAGTTTACAAATCCTTAACTAGAGGCACCATTTATGTTCGATTTCAATTAGATATGTGCCCCCGTCAGATTTTTTTTCTTCTTCAAGAACGTAACCTAAGTGGAGACAAAGTATCATACTCTCTACCTCGTACACACAAAGCAGACGCTTAAGAAGTACATCACTGTCAACATACCTTAAAAATGCAACAGGCATCTGTTATTAAGTATACTAAAAGGAACCCAAAACCAAATCATTTAGATTAGGGCAGCGGGATGAATTCAAATTAAAGGAGGCCCAAGAAGAGCAACCTCTTCCTGACGTGAATTAAGGAAGGAAAAAAAAAAACACCCGGAGCAAAAAAACCCCAACGCGCTCACCTTTCCGTTCCATGGCGGCCAGCGACGGCAGCCCCACTGAGCTCCCGCGCGTGCGCTCTAAAGATGTTCCTTGCGCCTGCGCCGGGCGTGGGCGGGCCGGCCGGCGCGTGCGTACGGCCGGTATCTTCGCGCGCCGTTGTGCGCGCCACCAAATTTCTTCGGCGCCGCTGCTGTCACTTCCTTCCGAGCTGGGACTAAGGAAAGCCACGCCCCCCGGTTCTTCTAAGCGCATACGGCACCGTCCCCTCCTCTGCATGGGAGGGTGAAGCCGCGCGTTAGGCTGCTCGCCCGCCTCCCCCTGTCCCATGTGCGGAGCGCCCGCGCTTCCCCCTCCGCAGCCCACTGTTCGCCCTTTCGGTTTTCGCCGGATTTGGCGGGGTCAGAGAGCGGGACAATGGTAAAAACTCCGCCTGGCGTGCGGTAGTGAGGTGCTGTCGCTAGTCAGAATTGTGACGCATTCGCCGTCAATTCTGCTTGCGGGCGAAGTTTCAAGTCACGCACAGCCGACATGAGATTCAATGGACAGAACGCCTTTCGGGGTCCCATTCGAGCGATGGTTTCTGATGGGTCCTCATCCATCAGTAGATGGCGGGGCAGGTCGCAGCGTCTGAAACTGCTGCAGAATTGTGTGAGCCGTTTTGAGGCGGCTGTTAGAGGCGTTCCTGATGTGTTTGGGGCTCGACTTTTAAAATGGGAGATTTAGGGTTATGTTACTTTCGCATTTTTGAAGAAATATTTTTTCCGCAGAGCGGCATTTAATATCTTGTTATGTCCTCTATATTTTAAATGAATTTTTGGTTATTTTTTTATTGTTGTAGGTCGCCCAGAATCACTTTGGGGAGATGGGTGGCCATATACATTTAACAAATAAGTTGAAGGTAATATAATTTATAAAGCGTGATTCCCCTTACAGATCCTGTTCCTGAAACAAAAAAGATGGAAACGAGTATTGCATGTTAGTAGTTTGCTCTTTTGCCAAGAGTAAGAGATGGGCAAATGAGTAAAACACCAGCTTGATTCTGCGTACGAGTGAATATGGCATCAGCGTTGGGTCCGTACAAGGCAACGAAGCAGAGTGCGCGCTTTTGATTTCTTGAGACAACACTGCTGCGGAGTAAAGCAAATTGTGTTTAAAATAAGCGGAAGTCCAGCAGTTTCAGTAACTTAGGGTTTGGACAAAACTCAACAGCACTTTTTCGTGCGGCTGCTGATAAAAACAGGATCGCCAACATGATCGCCAAAGTCCGATAACTGATATAGCACAAGAAGGAGGAGGCTGGGTAAGCGAAAACGAGGTGAAAAAAAGCACTTTTCATTACAGGAATTCACGTTAATCGATAAATCAAAGAGGTTGCCTTAGAAATGTCGCAGTGAAGATTACAGCATTTCTTCGCCTAAAGCTCCGAGCAGCAGTCTTTCCCATAGCAACAGGGAGGAAAGCAGGAAGATAAAAGCGGGCTCGGGCTGTCAAACTACCCCAGGAAGGCAACTCCTACAATTACCTCAAACTCCGCCTTCCTCCGTTTCTCTCTCTATCCTTATAGATCTCGCGAGACCATCCAGCGGGCTGCGCTCATATAGGCCGCAAGAATTAGGTTCCATATTGGGGCATTGTCACTAGCAATTCCGAGCCGCAGATCTCGCGATACCTCTGCGATCGATTGGTCGAGGATCTAGGAAGAGGTTCGGAGAAGTCAGACTGGCGTGTCTCCGTCATTGCTTGGGTCCCCGCTCGACTCTTAAACCAGCTCCGGTCTCTTCAGATACCTTGCGTGCTCCTTCGGTGGCCTTTCCCGTCAGCCTGGAGAAGTGAGCACTTGCGGTCACCGCCGGCCACTATTCCTCCAGCGGGTCTTTCTCCTTTCCTCCAAAGGAGGGGCTGCAGCAGTGCAGGGCGCTCGAGGCGAGTTGCGACCAGCGACCGAAGTTGCAGCTTGGCGCGGGCGACTTTCCCACCTCCTCCTCCCGCGCGGGAAACTCCCTTTCGCTGCAGGGGGAGGAGCCGCGATCCCTGTTCAAGGGTCTCCTCCCTCCCGGCCCCGCTGGGTGGGGCGGACGTGGGGGTCGAGATGACCCAGGAGCGGCCCAAGTTCTACCGGCAAGAGCTGAACAAGACGATCTGGGAGGTGCCCGAGCGTTACCAGAACCTCTCGCCGGTGGGTTCTGGAGCTTACGGCTCCGTCTGGTGAGTTGCAATATTTCCTGGAGAAGAAACGTCGTCGTCTGCGCTACACGCAAAGGGCGAACGCGCATCTTTTCAGAGCCGCTTGGCATTGCGGCTGTCCGCATTTTCGCCGAGGCCTGTCACCCCGATGGGAGTCCTATTCCTTGCAGTTTGTAAAAAAAAAAAAAAAAAAAAAACCTTTCGGGATTGGCCTTGCATGCTTCAACTCCCCGCACCCCAAAAGAAAGCTTGTTCAAGTTGCGGTATCAGAAGGAACTGGTTTGGGCTGTTCTGTTATGCTTTCTGAACTCCGGGCTTGTAGCTTTATGCTGTCTTGTGCGTTATCACATTCACATTGTCCCGTCAGTCTCATTTTCCCTTGTGGCCACTTTCTTCTTATTTTGTTCTGAGCAATCATCTGGTAGGTGGCTACCCTGTTGGACCTGGACCAGGGAAACCAAGTGCAAACCGAACCCACCCATGGAAGCTCGTTGGCCAGTTTTGGACTTTCCTTCCTCCAGTTGCTCTTTTGGCCCCCGTTTACTTCCCGGGGTCAATGGGGGAGGGGACAAAGTGAGTGCTTTGTACTCTGCCTTGAGCTGGAAGAAAGGCCAGATAAAAATTTAACAAATATGCATAAAATATCTTGCTTTTCTGGTGCCTAAATGATAGGCTATGGGAGAGAGGAATTGCTTAATTATTGTCCCAGTTGCAGTTTGGAATTGCTGGCTAGGTTGTCTTAGAGAGATCTGGCTTTGAGGAAAAAGCATGAGTGCCTTGATAAACTTCAGGATTGTTTCTTGTTAGTGTGATGCTGCTTTCTGTTGGGCCCTATATCAGTAAAGCAGTGACTTCAGCCCTGCATGAGGAGAGAGATTTAGCCAGCCAAATCTATTGCTTTCATCTCATCTTTCCTGAAAGAAGCTCATGACAGCATAAAAACCCTTTCTGTTCTCCCATTGTCTTTCTTCTTACAAAGATTGTTGGGTCTGTTAGGCTGACCAGGACTGACCTAAGGCTTCATGGATTTGAAGTTCAGCATAACCAAACTGGATTTTCTAGGGTATGAATAGGACTATCTTAAATAAAAATAGCATACTTCAGGCTTTCACTTTTGTAAATGAAGTTGTGAGTTGTACAGGCTGAGCATAAAGACATTGTAAAAATAGTTGAAAAGGAGTAAGGTAAATTAGGAGATGAAATTGTAGTGTATCTCTTAATGACAACTTACACTGTATTTTCTGATGTGCATCAGTATAACACAAATATTATACAGTATGCTTCATGGAGAAAGAAGGTTCAAGAAAACCAGCTTCAGTGACAAACCACTACAAATAATAGCTATGTTATGTTAAGTTAGTGAATAAAGCAGAGGTAGTCTACCTTTTTGCTTTAATGAAATACATAGATTTTTGCTAACATTATAGGCATCTTAAAAATGGTTATGATTACTGCCTCTAGTCAAAACATTTTATTGCAGTAGCTTACAGATTCTATAGATTCATTCTGCCATTCCTTTTTCTGTTTAACATGTAGGAGGATAGATTCCAAATGATACAGTATTTTTTATTTTCCATTATGGAGCTTAAGTAAATAACAAATGCTGCTAGGGGCTGGTATTGCTTTGTATAGCCTGCCTGAAAATTCTTCATTAGAATCTACAAAAACATTAAAAGTCAGTTATGCTGGTAAATTTTCCTATCCCTAAGATTAAAAAAAATCAGAAGGAAGTAAAGTACTTTTCACAAATACATTGCTTAACAAATGCAGTAGGATTAGTCAATAGACATATCAGTGATTTTAGTTCATACTGTATTAGTCTCTTATGGCTTCTCTAAATGGTGTAAGTTACTTTGGAAAAATGAATTGAGCACTGAACCTCCCAGATAACATTGTGCCAGAAATCAAACATTGAAATAGTATGCCATTATTCAAAATGCATCATATACAGGAGTCCTCGACTAACGAGCACAATTGAGCCCAAAATTTCTGTTGCTAAGCAAGACAGTTAAGTGAATTTTGCCCCATTTTTACGACCTATCTTGCCACAGTTGTTAAGTGTCTCACTATAGTAATACAATTGTTAAATGAATCTGGTTTCCCCATTGACTTTGTCAGAAGGTCACAAAAGATGATCACATGCCTGGACACTGCAATCATCATAAATATGAATCAATTGACAAGGCTGAATTTTGATCACATGACTGTGGGGATGCTGCAACGGTCTTAAGTGAAAAGAGTCATAAGTCACTTTTTTCACTGCTGTTGTAAGATTGAACGGTCCCTGAACAAACTGTTATAAATCGAGGACTGCCTTTATTCTACAGAAAGTACATTGGAATAATATTAAAATACATTTCATTAAGTTTTTTTTAAGTAAATGTACATGCCTACTTGACTCTACTTGGGTCTATGAATATTTTTGTTCAATCTATTTCAATTATCTCAAATAAAGGTACCTATAAAAGTTATTAGTTTCTTGATACAGATTTTATATAGCCATTTCAAATTCAGTTTGGACTTGCTTGTTTGGCAACAAAACATATTTAGTATATTTTTAAGAGTTTGTTTATATGAGTTTTTAATGATTTATTTGAGCCAATCTAAAAGCCGTACTAGATTATAGTAATAGAAAGATGTACAGAGAATTAGCATACTTTTATTTCTGTAAAAATGTAGTTCAGTTTTTAAAGATTTAGCACCCAAGTTTTCTTTCTAATATTTATATCTCTAGAAAATAGATTTATTTATGTTACACTTCTAATTTTGAGAATCTGTGACATTGTTATATACCAAAATTTCATCATATGAGAAAAACAGTATATTTTAAATTCATATAGATGATTATTAAATTTCCTAATTAAGCATTATATTTTATGTCCTTGTGGCCTTGAAGATTTAATTAAGACTTAGATTTTACTTCCTACTCCTGTCTATTCAAAAATAAGACATTCAGTGGGATTCAGTTTCAGGTAAATGTGAATAGGATATAGTGTGACTTTCTTGGCAAACCAGTGTAGTTCTGCCATACTGTGGCAGGCTCCATAGTTTTAAATAGCTACCGGTATATTCTTCCTCTTTCCTCCAAGCATCTTAAGGTAGGGAAATAACTATGTCTAGATACTCAATCTAAAAATTCTCACTGTTTTCAACTGAGACCAGAATTTCTTTTGTTAAGCAAGGCAGCTTTAAGTGAATCAAGGGCAATTTTATGACCTTTTATGCCATGGTTGTTAAATGAATCATGTGGTCATTAAGCAAATCTGGCTTCCCCCATTGACTTTGCTTCTGAGAACCATCTGGGAAGGTCACAAATGATGAACCCATGACCCCAGGATGCTGCAGCCATGATAGATACATGCTGATTGTCAAGAGCTAGTTGTGTTGAGAAACTTGTCACTTTTTTAATGTTGTTGTAACTTCAGTCACTAAACAAATGATTGTAAATTGAGAACTACCTATATTTTGTTCCATCTTGAGAACCATATTATAGTTTTTCCAGAATAACCTATTTCAGCTAATGCTTCTAGCTCAGTGGTTCTCAACCTTTTTAATGCCGCGACCCCCAACCGGTCGTAAGTTGAGGACTACCCAACCAGTCGTAAGTCGAGGACTACCCAACCGGTCATAAGTCGAGGACTACCCAACCGGTCATAAGTCGAGGATTTTCCCTGCCCGGGAGCACCTCTCATGCGTGGTGCCGCCCCCTGCGCCTGCCGAGGTGTAGCTGGCAAACGGCAGAGATGGAGCAGGCCGACCACCGGCTGGGCCACCAGCTGGCCCAGCCCAAGGGAGGTAAGGCACCCGCCGGGCCCCACGCGCTCCAGCAACCCTCCCTGCGCCCGCCGGCCTCCCACCTCCCACTCCTGGCCCTCTTTTACTTACATTTTTAGTAGTTGCTCAGCAGAGAGGAGTGGAAACTTCCAGACAGCTCGCCTTCGCTGCAGACAACTTGCAGCACCGTTTGCAGAATGGGACTTTTGTCCAGGATGTCTCAGCAGGGCAGAGACATCCTGGACAATTCCTATTGGCTTTTGAAAGTCAATATAATTAGACTCTATTCAAGAGAGTCTATTCTATTGGCTTTCAAAAGCCAATAGAATAAAAGGGAGTAGCACAGCTAAGGAAAAGGGGGAAAAAATGGCGGACTGCGTTGTTTGGCGACCCCCGTGAAATGGTCGTTCGACCCCAAATGGGGCCGCGACCCACAGGTTGAGAACCGGTGTTCTAGCTAATGCTTCTAGCATTAGAAATTGCAGTGTGTGATGGGGTCTCCATTGAATTAGAAAGGAGGAAAAGTCAAATTCTCCATACAGCTCTAGGTATAAATTGTTCTACAAGTTTCTGCTTTAAGCTGACCTGAGTCTAATTTCACAAGAACATTCATTTTAAGGGCTGAGGATAAAACAGAATATTTTTGTGGATTCTTCAGTCAATT